AGGGACCAAAAGTAATGGGACAATTGGCTTCTCAGCTGTTCCCTGGCCAGGTGCGTGTTATTCCCTCATTATCCCAATTACAATGAGCAGATAAAAAGGTCCAGAGTTCATTTCAAGTGTGCTATTTGCATTTGAAATCTGTTGCTGTCAACTCTCAAGATGAGATCCAAAGAGCTGTCACTATCAGTGAAGCAAGCCATCATTAGGCTGGAAAAAAAAAAAAAAAAAAAAAAAAAACAAACCCATGGGAGAGATAGAAAAAACATTAGGCGTAGCCAAAACAACTGTTTGGAACATTCTTAAAAAGAAGGAACGCACAGGCGAGCTCAGCAACACCAAAAGACCCGGAAGACCACGGAAAACTGTGGTGGATGACCGAAGAATTCTTTCCCTGGTTAAGAAAACACCCTTCACAACAGTTGGCCAGATCAATCAACAACACTCTCCAGGAGGTAGGTGTATGTGTGTCAAAGTCAATCAAGAGAAGGCTTCACCAGAGTGAATACAGAGGGTTCACCACAAGATGTAAACCATTGGTGAGCCTCAAAACAGGAAGGCCAGATTAGAGTTTGCCAAACGACATCTAAAAAAGCCTTCACAGTTCTGGAACAACATTCTATGGACAGATGAGACCAAGATCAACTTGTACCAGAGTGATGGGAAGAGAAGAGTATGGAGAAGGAAAGGAACTGCTCATGATCCTAAGCATACCACCTCATCAGTGAAGCATGGTGGTAGTGTCATGGCGTGGGCATGTATGGCTGCCAATGGAACTGGTTCGCTTGCATTTGATGATGTGACTGCTGACAAAAGCAGCAGGATGAATTCTGAAGTGTTTCGGGCAATATTATCTGCTCATATTCAGCCAAATGCTTCAGAACTCATTGGACGCCGCTTCACAGTGCAGATGGACAATGACCCAAAGCATACTGCAAAAGCAACCAAAGAGTTTTTTAAGGGAAAGAAGTGGAATGTTATGCAATGGCCAAGTCAATCACCTGACCTGAATCCGATTGAGCATGCATTTCACTTGCTGAAGACAAAACTGAAGGGAAAATGCCCCAAGAACAAGCAGGAACTGAAGACAGTTGCAGTAGAGGCCTGGCAGAGCATCACCAGGGATGAAACCCAGAATCTGGTGATGTCTATGTGTTCCAGACTTCAGGCTGTAATTGACTGCAAAGGATTTGCAACCAAGTAATAAAAAGTGAAAGTTTGATTTAGGATTATTATTCTGTCCCATTACTTTTGGTCCCTTAACAAGCGGGAGGCACATATGCAAACTGTTGTAATTCCTACACCATTCACCTGATTTGGATGTAAATACCCTCAAATTAAAGCTGACAGTCTGCAGTTAAAGCACATCTTCATTTCATTTCAAATCCATGGTGGTGGTGTATAGAGCCAAAAATGTTAGAATTGTGTCAATGTCCCAATATTTATGGACCTGGCTGTAGAACTGTAATGTCTCCCACATACCCAAATGGAAGCATTTGCAGGCTGGGGCCCAAGCTCCACCCATGCAGGTACTTCTCACCTGTTGATAGTATTTTCCAGAAAATTAAAAAAAAAAAATATTATTCAAGGCAAACTCCAAAAGATCAAGAATAAACTCATGTTGGTGGCACATTTCTGGAAAATAATGGATTAAGGAAGAACTCTACTGCTTTTAGTCCACAGTGATGGGGAATCGAAGTGTAGAGCGATTCAACATCAATCCCCATCAACCATAAATTTTCTTCCACTTTTAGATCAGCTATTTGGGATAGGACATCCCTAGCATCCTGTACAAAGGACTTTAGTTGACAAAGCATATCTAATGGAAGATCAAGATCTTTACCAACCTTCTCCAGTGGTCCCTTAATCGCAGAGACTATAGGTCTTCCTGTGGGATTCGTTAAGTTCTTGTGTACCTTCCGTATTATATAGAAAGTCGGTATATTATAATCTCAAACTTTAACGTAGTTAAAGTCATGGTTAGTAATTAAGGCTGCTTCCTTTGCCATATTCAATTTATTGTTGATCATATCCGCGAGGGCTGGAAAGGAGTTAGCATCTACTTGTTTGTAGGTCACACTCATCTAATTGAAGTCTTACTTCTTTTAGATAGAGTGTCTCACTCAAGACATTTCCTCCTTTGTCACTCCTCTTTATTAGGAGTTGTTTAGCTTCCCTTAATTTAGTAAGTGCCTTACGTTCTTCAGGGTCCAGGTTGTCATTATTGCTTATAGTCCAGTCGATCTCTTTACACCAATTCCAGGAATAGGCTCAACCATTTATTTTTACTAAGAGGTGGCATTTTGATTGATCCAATATCAAGTTTTGCCTTCCTACTGGAAGTGGTAACACCTTCATCGGGATCTTCATTCTCTTCCAGCAAGGATATTAGGGTATCTAGCATTATATTATCCTGATCTTCAATTTGGGAATCGGGTTCAATTACTAGATCTCTTGATATACATTGATCTAAAAAATACCAGTGCATAAAGACATGCATTTCTTTTGAATTTTTTGTTGCTATTCTGTCTCTCAGTGTTACAATACACCTACCATTCGATTTTTAGACTGATCATTTCTTTGTGAGTGGGCAAACATTCAAAATCAGCAGGGGATCAAATACTTATTTCTTCACTGTATGTGCACATACATACACATACATCTTGCAGAAGCCCAATGAAAATACACATTCAGCTGTCAGTGGGGAACCTTATTTGACATAGTTTTTATTTAATGTCTTGTATGTTGCACATGTAAGTTGTGGTTGCTGAGCACTGCATGTTACAATGCTAAATATTTTGCCAAATTAAATAACACAATTTTTATTCATCATAGCCTGATAAAAGTCTCGTTTGCTGTCCAATTAACCACTTGTCTCATGGGACTGGCTTTACCCACTCATGCGATTTTTTTGTTTTTTACTACACAGTTGCCAGCAATTCCTGACTGTCAACATGATAGCGAGGAGTTGATATGAAAATACAGATGTATTGCTGCTGCTGCTGTCAAAGAGACCCAGTTTCTAAACACTGTTTGGATATGAGATAAAAAGTAACATTGCTACTTTTTGTATGCACTCTGTTTCATTGATCTACAGGTTAAAGGCCTGACTTTCTATCTGTATAGAATGTGCTGTATAGTTGTACCTGCCTACAGCAAGTATGTCACTGCTCTCGGTTTACCACACAGCGGAGGAAACGCAACCAAGAGCCATTTCTTCATAAAGCGAAAAAGGCAGTGGTTTATTGCCCAAAGCAGTGGTTTGTTGCCCAGTAAAAGGGCATGAGGAACACGTTTGGGAGCCAGAGAATGAGAAACCTGGATTAAGAACAGAAATTAAGAGCTTTTCTGGAACAAGTAAGCAAATGGCTTGCTGATATTAAAAATGTCATAGCCATAAAGCCCAACTCCAGGACATCTAAAAACCCTTCGTTGCAGCAGGAGTGCTGAATACTGCATGAGTTCGCTCTTCATTTCTGTCTAGGGGACTTAGAGAACTTGATGAAGTCAGAGTACTTCCAACCGCCATAGAATAGAGGAGAAAAGGCTATGGCAACTGGTCTAGCAGAGCAAAGGAGCCTGCAAAAGTAGAGGGTGGGGTATGTAAAAGTGTTTTACCAAGTCTCCTGGACAGAAACGAGCAGTTAAAGTAGAACTCCAGGCAAAACTTTTTTCCTCCATTTTGGATAGAGTAAGGGAGGGTTATAACTCCTGTCAAAATGTTTTTCCCACCAGCTGTCCCCATTGTGGAGGAGATTAAACTTCACTTCCTGTCCCATAGCCAAACAGAAAGCAGGAGGAAATCCCTGCAAGTTAAGAGAATCCCTTGAGGACCCCCCATCACCAGAACATATGTCCCCATTGGAAGATTTTCCCTTTATTACTTTCTGCGGCAAACCCAAAATGTTAGATTTTCTTTCCTTTCACTTTCAATAATAGTGAATAGGACAAATATAGAGGGTGGATCTCCTTAAAGCAAAAAACTACACTGCCTCTGAGCACCACAAAGCAAAAATGCTATTTAATTCATTTCTAATATTCAAAGCAAACTCCGCCCATCCATCCATGTCTGCATACTTTATTTTGCTGAGAAGTCACTTTGAAAACACTGCACTAACATTTCTGGCCATGACCATCTTGAGTAAGGGCGCATGATTCATGCAACATTTACTTCCTGGAAATCATCTGCCCTTAGTTCAGGCATTCAAGCAGGAGGGCGTGCTTAGCTGAAAAAGCCCTTCATCCCCTCCTGAAGACTTCAGTAATGTATGACATCACTTGCCTAGACAAGGAACCAGGAAGTAACTAAAACAAAAAGGAGAAGTTTATCTCAAGTAAATACGATACACTTTATCTATTTACTAAAGCTAGCAGCATAAGGATTACAAATAGTCAAGGTTGATCGAGAGAGCAAAGTTCTGCCTTTAACAGAGATGCAGACAGTAAAATACTGACAGGGGTTCTAATCCATCTCCACTCTGTCCAAATCTACAAAGTTTTGCCTTTCGTTATACTTTAACAGTCCTACCGCATTGGAGGATTTTTAAGCTTCCTGTAATTCAGCTTTAAAACAACCTGTAGAGAATTTTTTTTTTTTTCTTGTAATTAAAATGTGTTTCTATTTAACTTCTGATTAACCCTTGGTTTACACTAGTCAGCCCCAATTACCTCACCCATAAACATTTTAGAAGCGATTTTTTATTACTACGTTTCCTAACCATTTTTATTTATTTGGTTTAATTATTTTTTTTTCATAAAACATTTAGCTTTTATTTGTAACGTGTTAAAAATACTCTGCAATGCTTTGTACCATCATAATTTGAAATTTCCAGGAGTGTCAAATGCTATGTTGTGTTGGCTACACCCTCTCCCTTCTCCCAGTCATTCCCGAGCTCCTAGCATACTTGTTCCTTTGGAAAGCAAAAAACTTGCCAGATTGTGCAGCTGCTGCATGGTTTCTGTTCCTGCACTAAATGATTTCAAAAATGGCTTATTTTCACTGTCCGAGCTGCTGTCAGTGTCAGGAATGTGCACCTAACCTGCATTGTATCACTCAAGCCCAGTATTCAAGCAAAGTATAACTGCAGTGGCATTTCTGTTTCCCCAGGCCACTGCGGAGGATGGCACATGTTTATAGCAGAGTACGTGCATAATTGTGTTTATGTCATATTTGTTGTGGCACCAAGTGGCATTTATGCTGTTGATACAGCTTTATACATGCGTTATGGTCTCTGGGTTTTCACCCTATTATTTTTAGTTTAGAACCCTCCAGGTTTGGTAGTGCAGCACCATCTCCCCCTTTTTTCAATATCCAAGATGGCAGCACAGTAGCAATCTGGAACAGCTTTCTAAGGAACTACAGCAGACACTTTAGAAACGCATTTAAATGCAAATAAAGATAAATATTGTCCTTAATCATATACACAGTATTTAAGACAACAGTCTGGGGGCAGAGTCTCTTGAAGTCTGCTAAATATATTCCAAGTGCACCAAAAGAAAAGGTTTTAAAAACAAACAATCACAGCTTAGGCAAAAAGCCTGTACCTTGACAGCATGCTATACAGAGGGATCCTAGCTCTCTGCAGTACAGCAGAGTTTCCAATTAGCAAGAACATACACTTTTCTGAATGCAGAGCTATAGATCTGACTCAGTAGGGGCATGTAAGACCAACAGTTGTGTTAAAAAAAATAGTGTTTAAAAAAAGTAAAGCTCAAAACCCTTATAATGGCTTTTATTTCCATATACGCAAATGCACTGGGAACACTGCACAGTCTATTCCAAATCAAAACATGAAGAAAAGGTTTCAAATTTGTTATTACTTTACAGAAAAAAAGTGAGGAAAAATGAATATTAAGCTGTTGAAAAAATAGCAGTGTCTGCATTTCTCAAACATTTACTGAAAAATGCTTGAAGATTTAGCTTCCCTGTGAATCACTGAATACTTGGTTGTATAACCACGGTTTCTGAGAACTGCTTCACATCTGCATTGCATGCAGTGGACCAACTGTCACCTGTGAACAGGTATTCAGCCCAGGATAATTTCACTCAATAATAAAATTCCTCTGCATTGCTTGGATTTTACCTCAGAAACAGCATTTTTTAGGTCATCCCACAAGTTTTCTATTGGATTAAGATCCAGGGATTGGGCTGGCCATTCCATAATGTTAATCTTGCTGGTCTGGAACCAAGATATTGCACGTTTACTGGTGTGTTTGGGGTCGTTGTCTTGTTGAAACACCCATTTCAAGGGCATTTCCTCTTTGGTATAAGGCAACATGATCTCTAACTATTTTGATGTATTCAAACCAATTCATGATCCCTGGTATGTAATAAATAGGCCCAATACCATAGTATGAAAAACATCCCCATATCATGATGCTTGCGCAACCATGCTTCACTGTCTTAAACGTGTACTGTGGCTTGAATTCAGTGTTTGGGGGTCATCTGCCAAAACGGTCTGTGGCCCCCTAGACCCAAAAAGAACAATCTTACTTTCATCAGTCCACAAAATGTTGCGCCATTTCTCTTTAGGCCAGTGAATGTCTTCTTTGGCAAATTGTAATTTCTTCAGCACGTCATTTTTCAACAATGTGACTTGCAGGGGCTTCTTTCCAATGGCTTTGCTTCACATAGGCGTCTAATTGTTATAGTACTCACAGGTAACTTTAGACCTTCTTTGATCACCCTGGAGCTCTTCATTAGCTTTGCTATTTTAGCTACTCTGCGATCCATTTGAATAGTAGTTTTACATTTTCTTCCACGTCTTTCTGGTTTTGGTTTCCATTTTAAAGCATCTGAGACCATTTAACCTGAGCAGCCCATCAGTTTCTACACTTCTTTATATGTTTTCCCCTCTCCAATCAACTTTTTAATTAAAAAAGGTATGCTGTTCTTCTGAACAATGTCTGGAATGACCCATTTTACTCAGATTTTCAGGGAGAAATGCATTATACCCAGCATGTACAACATTTGCGGCTTTCATCCTTAAATAAGGGTCAGCTGACACGTTTTTTTTTCATAGAATGAATGACCTCACTAACTAAACTCAACACTGCTATTTTGAACATGCCCCTTTCAATTAGATTCAATTACACAGAATCAGCAGCATGCATGCCATGTCTGTTGGTTTTATATTAATCTACAACACCTACTATTAAATTTGCTATGTAGAAATTATTATACAGTATTTATAAAGCACCAATAGTTCGCTCAGCGCTGTACATTACAAAGGGGGACAGAACATGTGACAGAACAATAATACAATGCAAAACATGAGGGGATTGAGGGCCCTGCAATATACTTTATACCAAAAACAGTGACTGATCTGGTTAGTGATGCTCGACTGCTATTAATTTTGAACACAACTGTATGTAGAGAGACCATTGCTTCCATGGAAAGAGTGAGAGCAAGGGTTCTTTTCTTGCAGCATGCTGGAGGGGGGGGGGGACCCTTTTCTACTTAGGCTGTTTTCCATTCAGATGCAGCCACAGTGGGAGATTTGTCCATCCACACTGCATGGTGTGGATGGAGGAACCTATTAGACTTTTTCTGTTCAACCTGCAGGCTGAAGGGAAAGAAAGAAAAAAAAAAAAAATAATAAAATACATACAAATAAACACAACAAAAAAAACACCAGTATGAACATCTGGGACATCTGCCCATGTCAGCACAGATACTACCGTTTGCTATCACAGCTTGTGATTAATAAATATATATATATATTTTACACAGTATTTAATATATAAAAAAAAAAAAAAAAAAAAAAACCCACACAACACAAACAAAAAAACAAAACCACAAACAAGACTCAAGCCTACCAAGAATGAAAGGACCTGCCCTCTTTGCATTACTTCCCGAGATACTGGTGCAGAGTGCCTTGGATCTGGCAGAGGTCTCTCCAGAATCCCTTTCAGATGCTCTCCTCTTCATCCTCTATCTGGAAAAGGAAAGTGAGAAAAGACGGATGCATGGGGTGAAACGTTGCTTATTCATTTGCTCACATGTGTGCCTTTTCCCCTTCAACATAGTTTCTCCTCCTACAGATTTTACAGTCTGTTCCTGAACAGACACTTCTCCATCTGCTTTCACAAGCACATGCACTGAATACTGTACAACAGGGACAAAAAAAAAAAAAAAAAAAAAAAAAAAAAAAAAAAAAAAAAGAAGGATAGGTCATCTGAGTTTTAATTCATTGCGTCAAACAAATTAAATATGCAAGTAAAATTATGAAATCTTTTCAGCAGAAGAGCAAATGTCCAGTGGCCCCTACCCATCCGAGCTTCCAGCCAAGTAGGTGTAAGATGTAATAGCCCAACATACAGTCAGATAAGATCAGAGTTCAAATCATCACCACCTTATCAACATTGTTTTCAAGTTATACAAATGTGCTGTGTACAAACAAGAAAATTGCACAAAAATATTGCTGTACTCAGATATATCAGAACAGAAATGTAGACTAATTTCCCAGCAATTCTTCTTTGATCAGTTCCTAACTGGGCATGAGAAAAAAAAAAAGCTACCCATGTACAAACTGTCAACAAAAAAAAAAAAAGCAACACTGCACTACAGACGGCACATCACAGCTTCTTGACATATGACTTGAGTTAATATTTGACAGAAAGTGATGACATTATTACATAACCACACTAGTTTTATTACACACTAAAATTAATGATAATGTGACCTGCTATTGAGAGTATTTGCCACGGAGGACAAGATAACCTGCTCATTAGAAAACTGCAGTGTACTCTGACTCACATATGTTGCATCACAAGAGCCGCTGTGCTAACACGCAAGATAAATGCTCTACAACAGCCTGAAGAAAACAACTCATTCTTACAAAACAGCAGATGTTACATTTTACAAATAAAAGGTATAAATAGATAAGTTGTATTTCTGTATTCCTGTGTCTATGAAAGCATTCAGTTACCTTTAGTTTTTGTATTTCCCAGATTCCTGTAGCAGGGTCTACTTTAATATACATTATTGCATCAAAGTACACTGCTCAAAAAAAAATTAAAGGAACACTTTAAAAAAAACACATCAGATCTCAATGGGGAAAATCTCATGCTGGATATCTATGCTAATATGGACTGGGTAATGTTTTAGGAACGTAAGGATGACCCATCAACCCACAGAGGACCGAATTCAAAGACACCCCGAAAATCAAAGTGAAAAAATGATGGAGCTGACTAGTCAGTTTTGCTAAAATTTAATTCCAGCAAATCAAGATGATACTCAGTAGATTGCATGGCCCCCACATGCCTGAAAATGTATGGCATGCTCCCAATGAGACAACAGATGGTGTCCTGGGGTATTTCCTCCCAGACCTGGACATCACTGAGCTCCTGGACAGTCTGAGGTGCAACCTGGCGGCATCGGATGAACCCAAACATGATATCCCAGAGGTGTTCTATTGGATTTAGGTCAGGCGAGCGTGGGGTCCATTCAATGGTATCAATTCCTTCATCCTCCAGGAACTGCCTGCATACACACGAGGCCGGGCATCGTCGTGCACCAGGAGGAACCCAGGATCCACTGCATCAGTGTAGGGTCTGCCAATGGGTCCAAGGATTTCATCCAGATATCTAATGGCAGTCAGGGTGCCATTGTCTAGCCTGTAGAGGTCTGTGTGTCCCTCCATGGATATGCCTGCCCAGACCATCACTGACCCACCACCAAAACGGTCATGCTGAATGATGTTACAGGCAGCATAATGTTCTCCACGGCTTCTCCACACCCTTTCACGTCAGTCACATGTGCTCAGGGTGAACCTGCTCTCATCTGTGAAAAGGACAGGGCGCCTGTGGTGGATATGCCAATTCTGGTGTTCAATGGCAAATGCCAATTGAGCTCTATGGTGCCGGGCAGTGAGCACAGGGCCCACTAGAGGATGTTGGATGATGTCACCCTCATGAAGTCTGTTTCTGATTGTTTGGTAAGAGACATTCACACCAGTGGCCTGCTGCAGGTCATTTTGTAGGGCTCTAGCAGTGCTCATCCTGTTCCTCCTTGAACAAAGGAGCAGATACCAGGTCTGCTGATGGGTTAAGGACCTTCTATGGCCCTGTCCAGCTCTCCTAGAGCAACTGCCTGTCTCCTGGAATCTCCCCCATGCTCTTGAGACTATGCTGGGAGACACAGCAAACCTTCTGGCAATGGCACGTATTGATGTGCCATCCCGGAGGAGTTGGACTGCCTGTGCAACCTCTGTAGGCTCCAGGTATCGCCTCATGCTACCAGTAGTGACACTGACCCTAGCCAAAAACAAAACTAGTGAAAAACCAGTCAGAAAAGATGAGTTGGGGAAAAAAAAATAAAAATTTCAGTTGCCTCCACCTGTAAAACCATTCCTGTTTTTTTTTTCCATTGTAGCCCATCTAGTGCACCTGTTAAATTTCAGTAACACCAAACAACCCCCTCTGCTACTTAACTGAGCAGATGAATATCCCAGGAGTTTAATTGACTTGATGCTATACTTGGATTAAAGAGTGTTCCTTTAATTTATTTGAGCAGTGTATTTCAGAAGGTTGACTCTGCACTAGTTCCCGTGTAAAAGGTTTGCTCGAGTTCAGGTATGTATTTTGCACTATTATTCCAGTTCAATAAAAAAAGTACTCTAAAACCAACCCACTGATCAAAACGGGACAGTCTCTACTTTTTGTACTGCTCTACTGAAGATAGGTGTAGACAGGTTCAAAAGACTTGAATAAACAAATAGAAAAAAAAAAAAAAAAAAAAACACACAACACACACACTGCAAAACAATTCCTGAACAAGGTTTGACAACTAGGCCTTTCAATTTTTCCAGAAGTGTGCACACAATGGAAACAAACTGACGTCTTGCACATGCAAGACATTGTGAAAAGCAACATGACACAGATTATAACCACACGTCTTGATTACAGCAGGAGCAATGAAGAAGGAAAAGTCACTCTTAATATTTCTTCAGACATGCATTCTTTTCCTACAAGCCTGCAGTATGCCGAGTATCACCTAAAATACTACCCTTACAAAAACAAACCCTAACATTCCTTTTCTGCTGATCTATGAGCTACATATACAAACTGCTTTCACTTTCTGTGAAACTTCACATGCACTCCCACTTGAGCTGTAATTAAAGCTTAAAGTGACACTAAAAACTTGGGTTTCAAAACAGCAAACAAACGAAAAAAAAAAAACCCACACGATACTAAAGCCAGGATCGGGATCACAAACCCAAAAGATTGTCTTTAAGAAAGAGACAAAAAAAGAAAACAAAAACTCCTTAAAATACATAAATAAAACAAGAACAAAAACACCCAACACAAAAAGGAGACTCCTGTAGTTCTACCCTTACATTTCCTTTGATGCAAGGATACCAAATTATAATGTCCACAGACAGGAGAGCAAAACTGAAACGGAGACCACTGTATTTATGGGAGCACATGCGTAAAGAAAGGAAATGGGACTGTCGCCACATATTAATCACCACAACAACTCAGAGGCAAATGTGTCATGGATTTACAAAGAATTAAAAAAAAAAAAATGAAGTTTTAAAGTTGGTGCAGTTTATAGTAGTTTACTAGTTTTTTTACATACAAAAATCCACTCAGAAAACATGTAAAAAAAGCAGGTAAAGACAAGGTGATTCCTAGCACCTCTATATACAAACATAGGCATTCATAATATGCTCATTGTCACTCTGCAAAACAAATCTTCCCGTTTTAAACTATACACTACACATAATGCAGGTCTGGTCAATTCATACTAACTAAAACTTAAAGGCTTTGACATTATATGCACCACCCATTTTTAGGGTGGAACATGTAACAGGTTCTGGCTCCTGCAGTCTCTCCCACATTGCTGGGGACTTTCTCCCCGCACCTGCTATCACAATTTGAAAATTAAGAGGCTGTGCTGGGTTCCCACCCAAACGGCTGCGTCATTCATTTACTTCTATTCTGTGAATGAACTAACCACAATACTAGCAGCCGTTGTGATGAATTACCAGGGTGCTAGAGAACACTAGTATTTAACTGAATCTTCCTGTCATTGTGTAGCTGTCTGCCCATACCAGGTTAGAGCAGACAGCTTACACTGACAATCTGCAGGAGCCTTGCACTGCACCCGTGATCTACCGATAGCAGGTGTAATGCTTATATGCTCAAAAATTAAATACACTCTTCTTTTACCAAAAAATGGCCTGTGAAGCTATGGTATTGAGCACCAAACATATTAGTTATGTTTAGTGGGGTGTATCCCAATACCTGCAGGTGCTGCTTCTGCTAAAAATCAACCTTGCTGTGTCTCCTTCACTGCTGCTGGAGATTACTCTGAGCGGCTACAGGGGTTGGACAAAATTATGGAAACCCCAAGTAAAAGAACAAAATCGTTATCCAATATGGTCTTGGACTTCCTTTGGCATCCAAGACGGCCTGAATTTTGGGAACTAACAGAAAGTCTTGGATTGTGAATGCCAGAACCTGATACCACTCTTCATGCAAAAATTGTTCCAGTTCATATAGATATGAGGCAAAAAATGATAGAGACCAAAGAGGATCAATCTCAGTACCATGAAGACTGGGATTGAACTCTGCAGTCACTTTTGCAGCAGTTTTCTTATTCTGAGTTACAATCCTACACAGTTGACCATGTCGAGCACTTATGCTTATCAGAAGAGGTTTTTCTACTAGGTTTCCTACTCTATACAATGCAACATCTTTCCCTTGCCAGCTCCAAGACTGAGAGCTGAGCAATCAAAGATCGCTAATCGCTCGGTTCTCAGTGTTCCGTGAGCAAAAGAGCTCATGACTGTCAGTCGCTAGTTCTGTGCTCTGCCCCTCCAGCGCTCACTGGAACACAGCATGGGGGGGTTAAGAGCAGCTCAGGCTATCGGGGGATCACTGAGAAGCTGCGTCGGATGCCAGTGCAGGCTTCTAGGTGAATCC